ATTCACTAAAAATCAAATTATTTTCCCAGACATGGAAATGAAAATGTTTGACTTCCCTGATATTTTCAAGTTCTCCACAATTGGGGAAAACCTAGACATATTTACATATTTAACATAAAGGCTAATAAAATGATGATGTTGGGTTCCCAAAACTTTTGACAAGTACATTTCCATAACTTTTTTTTTAGTTATTACTTCATAGAGATAACACTCACAACGAGGAATTACTAGCCAATTAAATAAAATTCACAATTATGAAGTTAAGAGAGAGAAAGAGTGAAGAAAAATCACATTCACTATAGAAATATTTATTACAATATTATTTTTTTAAATACATCAAGGAATTTCAAATATATTTAAGACTTATTTTACATTCGATATTCCTTGATATACCCCAGTTTTCTGCCTTTAATATGCATCTGGAAACATGTCTCACCGATGAGTGGGTCGGTGACGTGTGTCCAGTCGATGCAGTCCTGTAACTCCAGCTGATAGTGTGACTGGATATAGAGCAGCAGGTGTTGAAAGAAGCCCACCCCAGCGATCAGATGAGTCCTGTAGGCACACTCCAGAGCACTGCGGCTGTGAATATGCTGCAAACACAGTCAGGATTTCAGCCTGATGGCCAATGCAACAGCAAAAAAAAAACACAACTACTTTTAAATAAGGAGACATGTGCAGTGTTACGCAACAGTACCTTCTTATTGGTCTTGATGACCTGAATGACCTCATAATAGACTTTCCTCCATAGCAGCTCTTCTGCCTTGCGTCCATAGTCCACAGGATGCAGGAACATCAGCTTTACACAAAGTTCTCGCAATCTGGTTAAAAAAAATAATAATAATATATTAAAATTTTAAGAAGCGCTGTAAAGTAAGTATATGGGAATGTTGATGAGTTATTAAGAGCTAATGTAACTGCTTCCTAACCAGGTGATGCAATAAAAGCTCTCTCTTCCATGTAAACACAAGATAATCTGAACGATTATTGCAGATAGAGTAAACTTGTGCTTACTTGTTCCTCAAGCTGATATTCTCAGGTTTGAAGACCTCCCTATACGATGACTTGCCGCTGATTATAATATCCAACTTGTGCACCGTTTCCACCACAGCCCTTCATGAAAACAGACAAGAAATGATGAACACTGTTATATACTGTACACCACAAACTCACAATATAATAAATCCCATTCAACACTTTCAAAAAAATAAAATAATAATAATAATAATAAAATCCATAATTTATAATAATTTTATATTATCTATATTTATTAATAATTTATGATTGAGTTAAATCTATTGGGTTGAAATTCAAACAAATCAGTAATGGTTTGCATTATATGGCATCATTTTCCATGTGTTTTTTTTTTTCTTTCACAAAGATGTATTATAGCAAATAAAAACCTAACTTGTTTATTTACTAAAGATAAAATGTTTATTTTATCGTCATGGGACCATAAAATTGAATTTTACCAATGTAAAAAAACTGTTGCTTTTCAAATAATCTTTTTGACAATAAAAATGTATTATAAAAAAACCTGGTCTAAAATATATATTTCAAGTCCAATTTTCTTCCCCTTAACGTAAATGTAACTTAACACCAGAGCAATGTTTTTGATTTATTTTTTAATGGTTAAGGTGTAAACACAGGCATTTGATTTGAGCTTAAAGATTCATTTCATTCCTACTGAATCATATATGATACATGCATTTCTAAAAATGACCAAAACCCGTTGTACACATTCCACTACATGCCTGTCGTCCGATTGATAAAGTTAATAAATTTTTAGTAAATAAAGGACTTTTAGTATAATTGCATAAATGTCCATCTTCAGGACATCATAATAATCTGACTTTTTGTTGTGAAATATTTAAAGATTTGTATAAAGTAAATAAGAATGTTTTATATTGTTAGTAATATTTCAAGATGAATATTTACTGAACTGAAGCAACTTGGGTTTAATTGATTATCCATACAGGATTTTTTTTTAAAGAAAAGTTTTAGAAAATGTTTTGTTAAAATTTTATGCATCAATTATGATACATCAGGATTTTGAGATGTAGAGTGACAAGACAGATTTTACAGTCCTTTTTATAAGTAGTCTGTTATAAAAATAAAAAAAAAGGTCAGAATTTCATCTTTGGCCAGCAATAAACTGTTCCATTAAAAAAAATGGCTTTACAATGCATGGCTAACAACCATTGCATAGTTTATATGTTTTAACTATTCAACCTTCAATTCTCATGTAATTCAGACCTATCATTTTAATTACTCATATCTGTAATTTTATAGGAAATAAAAAGAGTATCCATGGACATAAATCATTAAGTAAATTTAGATTTAAAAGCTATAATTTCATGCCACACATGACAAAAAATACAAGATTTCCAGATGAGACATAATGGGGATGAGAATGACTATACGGCCTCTGTGGTATGGACTATAGTGTCATGTGTCTCATTTAGCATTTTAGCATTATCAATATATTTTCAAACACTTCTGAGCCCCCAAAAACATCAAATACATAACAAGAATTACTGAGATTTCCTGACAGTACCGGCCTGCTGTCAACGCTCTTACCTGTACAGCCGTTTAATATGAAGCACTTTGGCCTCTGGCTCGCTGTCCTGACCCGGTCCGCTCATCCTAGCAGTGATAGTGCGGCTGCTGGAGTCTGTTTTCGTGGATCTTGTTCTGGTTCTGATTCGTTCAGCTCTAGTTTAGCGCGCGGCTAACGTTAGCAGGTTAGCTAACTCACCTATTTCCCTCAAATTACAACTTAAACACAAACGCTGTCGTTCCTGACCTCCCCCGTCACCGGCCGCGATACCCATCCGTTCGGAAGCCGGTGTGTGTGCTGGTGTCGGTTCGGGTCAGCTGTCACATTTTGAAGGGGTTATGTTTGTGTTGTTGCTGCTCATCATTTCGAGTGTCGCTTCGCGAGCGGCCATTTTTTCCCCTCCCACCGCACACAGTTCAGCGATCGCTGCAAGTATCGCGATAGTTGCAAGTAGCGCTCGGCTCTGCAGGCGAGATGATCAGCCACTGGTGTAACGGTTCCTTACAATGACCATTAGTGGTCAGAAAAATATTATGATAGCCAGAATTCCTCCCAAACTACTATAGTTATTGTTTATACTGTAAAATTAAGCTTTAAGAAGCTTGCAGACGTATTTTTATGTGGTAAAAAAAAAAAAAAAAAAAAACAGCTTAGGCTACCACCGGTTTTTTTTTGTTTTTTTTTGTCAGAAATATGTTCTGTACTTTGTTTCTCTGCATCTTTTCTCAGTGGCTAAATCAATTGATCACCCAGAGATAAATCACCATACATTTCATATTTTTGCATATTTAATTTTTTACAATTTACAATAAATAATGGCATTGTGTAAAGGTAGACTGTGATTAATTAAGATTTGTATGATTGGAAGGGTTAGGCCTTTAATTAGGCCTTTTAATTAGACCCTTTTAAGTTACAAACATTAGGCTATTTTAGAGTTCTGTTGACATAATGATGTAGATCATTACATTAACTTAATGTCGTATGTAATTTAAACAAAAATTTCTGTGTTAATTGGCTTGTTTTTTAATTAGGTTGTGGTAACTTAATGAAATTGTCTTGATAACTTCGGAAATTAGGCAGTGAATTTCTAGTTCCCCGCATGCATTACAGACTGAATAAGTGTTGAATAAATGTTAAAATTACGTGTTAATTGGTTTGTTTTTAGTGAAGGGACAGTCCTGTTAGTGTTTAATGCTGTTATGTTTGAAGTTTTTGTTTTTGAAGTTAAACTCTATCAGCAATGACTGTGCTAATGTCAAGAACTGCACTAATGTCAATGACAAGTATTATCTTGTTCATTGAATACAGGCCTACATGTTAAATAAGTTAAGCATACTATATAGCTGATCATTTGAACTAGATGACTAAACGCCTGAAGAGACGACTCTACGACGGCGATACGTTATGTCCTAAATTAATACATGATTAACTAACTGTATTTTTCTATACATTTCTGAAATGCACTTTCTGTAAAGCTGCTTTGAAACAATATGTATTATGAAAAGCACTATACAAATAAATTTGAATTGAATCGGAAGTTGATGCAGAGGGTTGCGTACATTTTTTTTTGTTTGAGCCAAAGCATTCTTTTTTAGAGTGAAGAGAAGTATAGTTTTCCCTCTTGAAAAATGTTTTCCAGGTGCTTGCACATCCAGTTTAGGGCAAATACGGGGCAATTATATAAGTGCATTTAGTAAATAGGGTCAGTCCCACAAATTATCCCAAGAAAATGTCCAAAGTAATAGTTTCAAAATGCAAAATAATCTAATGTTCAGTACAGTAATAAGAAATGTATTCATATATTATTAAAATGGTAAAGTTACCGGCTTACATCATAGGAATGAGTTTGTACTGCCTTAATTTCATCCCACACATTCTCATCAACCCCTCATCTCTGGACACGATTAGCAGGCAAACCATCTGGCATCACCTGGCAACTGCATCTGTGAATCATCAGCAGGGGGTTTGAACACGACACAGCAATCCTGAAATCACAAGCTTCCATCTTGTTTCCTTGATCCTTTATCTTACTTTGACTGATAGCATTAGTAAAGCAGAGTTGATGAAGACCAGAAGAATCTGTGAGTGTCATTTCAACTGAAACAACTTTATTTTTCAGATAGACAGACAGGCAGACAGACAGAGAGAAAGAGAGATAGATAGATAGATAAATAGATAGATAGATAGATAGATAGATAGATAGATAGATAGATAGATAGATAGATAGATAGATAGATAGATAGATAGATAGATAGATAGATAGATAGATAGATAGATAGATAGATAGATAGATAGATAGATAGATAGATAGATAGATAGATAGATAGATAGATAAAAACAACACTCTCAATAAATTAGTTCAATAATAGATAGGGAATAATAAATAGACAGACCGATAAAAACATCATTCAGTATAATAAATGAATACAATACAAATGTATTTCTTTATTCATCTGTTTAATTGATTTCATTTCTATAATTAGCCCACCCGAAAAATATAAATTCCGATTTATTCAAAAAGAAATGAAAGTCTTCAACAGCTTTGAATAAACTAAAGAATGATGAAATGATAACAGCAGTCATTATATTTTTACAATAATAATCATAATTCAATAACCAGAATATCAACATTCATAACAAATCCAAAAAACATCGGCAATACACTCTGACATACCACTCTTTCTATTAAGATAATATATACAAAAAGAAATCAAATTCCCAAGTGTCTGCCCTTTTCAAAAATGGAAATTTAGGGGCGGGGCTTATGGCTTGTCAAGAAAGATGAGTGTGATTGGCTTATGGCTGACAAAGATCAACTGAAGTTTATTAGAAAGAGGCACATCATGGGAACTCCATTCATTTACAGGGGACAAAGAAGCGCTTACTTGCATGGAAGAGTTGCTAGGCAAGTAATGAGGGAATAAAGCATCAAGCCATATAAAAGGTCAGTATAGTAAAATGGGAACGTCTCCTCACAAGAGCGATCCAAAAAAACAAAAACAAAAAAAAACCCTCATCTGATGCACGGCACCGCATTGAAACTGAAAGCAAGAGGAGATGCAAAAGCTGCAAAGATTAGCAGGTGACTTATGTCTGGAAAAGTGGATATATGCATACATACGGTAGGTATTAAGCCTAGGCTATATATTTATGTACAAGCATTGCTTGGTCACCCAGAACCTGTTACAAAACACCTCAATCAGTGAGAAAATGAGTGCAAGCTTTAGACTGGCAAACCCCGCGGCGGACTCCCGCTTTCAGACTGCGTACAATCAGCCTGAGCAAAAAGTGCTTCGAAGACATCCGCCGACGAGTCGCCAGCGTGAGTTTTAATTCCCACAAAGTTCTGTTATGCTTTTTCTTGTCCACATGTCGAGAAAAAGGGAAATCGGTGTAAAAGAACACATTCTGTACACTGCATATACAAACATACCTTATGTACAAATACACATTTATATATATATATATTTATATTGTATAACCATACATCCAGTATATACACAAAGACTGTACACACACTGTATATACACACAGTCACCCACAACATTATTCGACCTGCATGATCTCTCAACATTGATATTTTTGTCTAGCGGTGTAAAAAGGAAGCAGAAAAAAAACGTCTGTGTTGCTCAGCTCAAAGGAAATAAAGTTCAATTTAAAACAGCAACTTGGCTTGGCTTTTCAAAACTACCCACAAACGTTCGCCAGCCAAATCTCTAAACAAGAGGATTCCGCATCCAAACAGTGTCGTCCATAAAATCAAGAACTCCACAGCAAAAACGAAAGCGAGTTAAAAAGTAAAAGAATCCATCCTTCCTTCACATACGAAGGAGTTGCCGAGGATCCGGGACGTAGCAAAATGCGGGGAGGGGGAGCAGGTAAAATAACAGGTTGTCCATACTTCTTTGCAAGGAGATTGTCACATAAACACGCGGATCTAAAAAGGATTATTTTCAGTTCTTGTCTCACATTACCAGCATGTAAATATCTGGGTGAGGTCCAGTCAAGCAGTGGAAACAAAAGTTCGGAGACCTCCAGCCTCTGACCGAATCCGCTGGAAGGACAACTCAGCGTCTCTTGAGAATAAAAAGGCTGGGCGTGTTCTGTTTCCCCAAAATAAAAGACATGATTGAGACGCAGGCAGGCATGACCAGGCAGAGCTAATGAAGATCGTAATGAGAAGAAGTAGAGGATTGTTCAATATCCTACATGTAGTTAGTTAAGAACCTAAAAAACAGCACCTTTGAGATTGATCTTATCCACAGAACCTCTCTCAACGAACCACTTGCGCTGCATGCGACGTCATCTCTCGTGCTGTTAAGAGGCACGCAGCAGCCGTCTGACAGATGTTAAGCATCCCAAACTGCCATCACATCAAATTATATCAGATTGAGAGAGAGAGAGGGCACGTCAGAGGAGGGGAACCTATTTATTTTTTCTTTGGATCGGCTCTGGCACTGAGTCTAAGCCTCAGTTTCCCCTCTGTCAACCAACCGAATCGCGTGACAGCGCCCTGGAATTAAACATCGGCCAACCTGAAGAGTGTCCTTGGTGAGGCCTCCAATTAGGTTCCAGATTGTCCTCCATGAAGCTTTGCGTTTGGCTGGAGACGCAGGGAAAAGAGGACGTGCTTGATGAGCTGCTGACCAATCACTGCTACTAATCTCAGAGAAGAAATGGACTAACCACCCAAACAGGCAGGTCAACTTAAAAATGTTTTTCCAGTTTGCATTAAACTGTGAGGCAATTGAAAGTTTACCTGAGTCATTCGATTTTACGTCTGAGGTATATTCATGTCATGGCACATTTGTCAGCCGATAACCCTGCTATCCCATTTCTCTCGAGCGCTTTTGGGACATAAACAAAATTGCCTGTTGATTATTACTAAACGGTGTAGAAGTCACTTAAAGATAGCCCTCGAAGCTCGAAAAAGCTAAAATGGCGAATCAGTCCATTCTCCTCTCTAGTGCCTTCCCAGCCTTTAAATATTACAGTACAGCTCAGTGTTTTTATTGTGCAGTTATGATTTATGTTTCCTTGCTCTCATCTAGGCCTGCTGTATTGGTGTAGCTCTATTACATACAGAACTTGAGGAGTTTTTCAACGCAACAACAAGGCAATCAGCAATGAATTGGGTTACAAATGAATGACTCGTGTCAGCGAAGCCACGAGAATGTCTCGAGTCTGTAGAAACATGACAATGAACTGATTAATCGGAAAACAAACACTAAAACGAAAGCTGCAGTGAAAGATGAGGTATACAATCAGTACCAGATGGCAGTGATACTTCAATGAAGACTTATAGCTAGCAATATTTCTGTACAGTACATAAGATTAGATTATTTTACAAACCAACAAGATCTTCCCTAAAATTGCCATTCGAAGGCACCAAAAACTACGTTAGAGATGCTTGGGCAACTTTAAAGTCAACATGAAATCAAAATGGACCCTGTATACGTCTAAAATGCACATTCCTGGTTTTATTATTCATAATTTGTAGCTTTCCAGTTGCTCAAACAGTACGGTATGGCAAAGCCAAGGTCATGGGTTCGATTCCCAGAGAATGCATGAACTGATCAAAGTTTGGATGAAAGCATCTGCCAAATGCATAAATGTAAATGTAATGATTATTTGGTGCAAGTCCCTGTTTACTTTTTCAATGCGCATTCTTGATCTTATTTTTTTGATGCATGGTATTCTATATTAAAAACAGGGCTGTTTTCATAATCTTTTAACAAAATATAATGTGCACCACCTCTGAAAACAATTCACAAATCCATTTAAATACAATTTTCAGCCACCGAAATCCATTTTTTCTATTTTATACTCGAAAACGTGTCACATAGTGGATTAAAAAATGGTTGCCTTCAAGTTGACTTTCATGTTGAGTTTAAAATGTCTTTTAAGACAAAAAAAACCCAACACAAAGTTCTGCTTATTTGAAATATCAGCTCTCTTTGAGAAAAACGCATCAGTAAAATGTCTTATGACCACAACAGCATTCTGGCCTAGCATTTTGTTTTAATAAAAAAGACAAAAGGTTTTTTGACCTGACAGAGATCACCTCTCGCTCACCTCATGTTGCACGCACACACACACTGAAATAAATCAAAATTGGCCTGTAAGGAGATGAATGGGAGGACGAAGACATTACTACTGTATATGAACAGTTAGGACGATGACAGAATGAGAGGTGGTGATGTAACACAGAGCAATGCTTTGTGAATCCATAGCACCAGTTAAATACACATAGGTTCTGAGATTGAGAAGAGAAAACATTGCACAAGTTCAGTCTAGTGAGGCAATTCAAAGACCACAAGCACTTTCCAGACATTGTCCACAAAAACCCGAGCCGAGACATTTTCAGCATTACATCTAAATGAGCAATCTCAAAGAAGAGAGTGGAGTTTGCACAACCATTTCTGTAATTCTGCCATCCTTATTCTTGTGTTTGTTTGAAAACCCTGTCTAGAGATACAGAAAGGCACTAGGGAAGGCAGATGACAAGACAAAATCCCCAAGACAAAGCTGACGCGTGTTCGTGGGTCAAATTTCGATCTCTATACACTTCGAAACATACGTATAAGTTTGTTTGCCCACCGTTCCCGGCTTCTTGGGTCGTTTTTTTTTTAACTCAGTCAAAAACTTGGAAACTGAACCAAGCACTTTCCAGTGGTTTGGATGACGTGGTGGCAGAGGTACTGTACGTGCAAGGGGCTTTTAACTTTGATCCAAAGAAAAAGTGATGTCGGAATAACATATCGGATCCAATGGAGAGCCCTTTTGTTTTGGATGGTGCAAGTAATGTCCCGCCTCCCATTCGTCCTCAGTCTAATGTACAAAAAAAAACCCTCATCCTTATAATGCGGATGACAAAAGATGTGATTTTTTCCTTCCGAATTCCTAAAAATGTTCTCAGATTTGGTCAACGTTGTTATTGACCTGCTCCCCCTCCAAACTTGCCCTCGATGATGTTGCTGATTTTTCAGTTGTCGGGGAGCTCTCCGTTTGGCCGGAGTTGTGCGTGAGGAAGAGAACGAGGAGGGGAGGCTAACGGGAAGGACAAGATTCCATTCAGGGGGGATCGGGTGGAGGATTTGTCCGAGGGGGAGACTCCAACAAAGCCAGGAGTGCTGGTCAATTCTCCTCCAAAACTCACACCGGGGTCTGCTGAACCCAAGGCGGAAAGCTGGTTTTCCTAGCAAGACAGAGAGAGAGAGGAAAAGGGAGGAGAAGAGAGAGAGCAGGCGGAGGAGGGATGGAAGGATGAAGATTCCAAACACACACAAAAAAAGGCAAATGGAATGCAAAGGAGTTCCCATGGCAAGAAGATCGATAGGGAAATGCAGAACAGGAAGATCAAAGTAAATAGAGGTCACAGAGAGAAAGAGAAAGAGGTGATGAGGGATTGGAAGAGCAGTAAAGGAGGAATAAAACAGGAGCATGAGTTGTACAGCAGAGGAATGAAAATTTTCCATAGAAATGCTCAGGGAAAGAGGGATAGACACAAAAAAGAGGAAGAGAGAGGGATGAGGAGGGAATTACAAATGCTGTTGATACACTTGTGCTCTTGAGAGGTTGCACTGCAGAAGACCAGAGTGGTTGTCAGTGACGATGAACGATTCAATATTGGACCGTTTTGGGTAAATATACCCAAAATGAGATTTTAAGTAAGTAAGAAGGGAAATTTATTTATTGATTGATTTATTTAATATCAATTTTGCATTAAAGGGGTCATAGCACAATTTTTTTTTAGAGCCAAATCAATTAATCTCGATGTGTGTGTGTGTGTGTGTGTGTGTGTATTTATATACACTATATATATATATATATATACACACACACACACACACACACATATTATATAAACAAACTTGTATGTTATATGCGATTAATCACAATTAATCGATTTTTTACCATTTAATTTTTTTGGTTTTGCTCAAAATATATATGTTGGATCAATCAATTCTTTTCATGGAAGCCTTAAAATAGATTACCAGTCGAATGTAAAGTGGCAATGTAACGTCCCAAAGTGTACATTTATTTGACCTCAAAGATCAGAAATTTTGATGACTCATGATATGACCCCTATCACTGCTCTCACTCCAGTGTCTGAGTGCAGTAGAATAGACTTATACTGAGCATGCAACTGATGCAAAAGTGTGATCAACTGAAAAGAACAGGAAGTGAGAATGAATATTTAAGTCGGATGTGTTTTTTGTCCTGCTATCGCAAGCATATTTGGACTGTTGTGACAATGTGCCTGACAGTGTTATGCAAGCTCAAATGACTCTAGGGAACACATTTTTCAATCCATTTGCTATATTTTATAAATGATTTATAAAAAAGTAGTTTATATTTGTATTATATTGCATGATTATACAATTTTGATATTTAATATCAAACCAAAACAGTGTCAAATCCACTATTTAGAATTTCAGGGAGTTTTCACACATGGTTTGAACCGGAGTTTGGTTGACTGTACAATTGTCCATCGTATGCACACTTGGCAGAACTAGTTGGTCATCCGGGTACTTTTTGCTCACTCTTTTATGATGAGTACTTTGAATTTGGACATACTAATTTTGAAACATACAGAATTTCACCTACTATATAGTAGGGAAATGTGCACTTCGGATACAACCTATTGCAAACTACACGCCGCCATTTTGAAGTGCATTCAACTTTGTAAAGTGGACGAGGGAAGTTAATTTCGACAGACTTGGGTACTTGGGTACACTTCAGGCAGATCCATAGACCACTATCCAACACAATTGTTGCGTCACAACAGAAACTCGCACTTAATTCATTCACAAGTGATCAAGGGCTTAGCGCGTTCCATTTAAACCCATTGCAAAAGGTTTCACCTGAACTGTACACTTGTGCAACGCTTGCAAGGGAAGGGCATTAAAAAAGTGGACTTGAATGCAGGCCTGGTTTCGTACCTGAATGAATTCGTCTTTTTGAATGAATTGTTTGAGTGAATGATTCAATGACTCCCTCATAAGAAGATTATGTAACCCCTCCACCCGGGTCCTACTCGCCCCACTCTGTGCGGGCCTCGAACCCGGCTCTTCAGCGTGAGTCAGGTGCTCTAACAAGGAGGCTAAAGACTGTAGCCTCTAGCGTCTGTCGCTAGAGTGCCTATTGACATCAGAGGAGTGAGGTTTTTACTTCCACAGCAACTACTAGCTGGCCTCCGTTACACTCACCCCCCTAAACCTCACTCCCTTCTGGGTCACGGCACCAATGTAACCCCTCCACCCAGGTCCTACTTGCCCCGCTCTGTGCGGGCCTCGAACCCGCTCTCCAGCGTGAGAGTCAGGTGCTCTAACAAGGGGGCTAAAGACTGTAGCCTCTAGCGTCTGTCGCTAGAGTGCCTATTGAGATCAGAGGAGTGAGGTTTTTACTTCCACAGCAACTACTAGCTGGCCTCCGTTACACTCACCCCCCTAAACCTCACTCCAATCCGGGTCACGGCACCAATGTAACCCCTCCACCCAGGTCCTACTCGCCCCGCTCTGTGCGGGCCTCGAACCCGCTCTTCAGCGTGACAGTCAGGTGCTCTAACAAGGAGGCTAAAGACTGTAGCCTCTAGCATCTGTCGCTAGAGTGCCTATTGAGATCAGAGGAGTGAGGTTTTTACTTACACAGCAACTACTAGCTGGCCTCCGTTACACTCACCCCCCTAAACCTCACTCCCATCTGGGTCACGGCACCAATGTAACCCCTCCACCCAGGTCCTACTCGCCCCGCTCTGTGCGGGCCTCGAACCCGCTCTCCAGCGTGAGAGTCAGGTGCTCTAACAAGGGGGCTAAAGACTGTAGCCTCTAGCATCTGTCGCTAGAGTGCCTATTGAGATCAGAGGAGTGAGGTTTTTACTTCCACAGCAACTACTAGCTGGCCTCCGTCACACTCACCCCCCTAAACCTAACTCCAATCCGGGTCACGGCACCAATGTAACCCCGCTACCCGGGTCCTATTCGCCCCGCTCTGTGCGGGCCTCGAACCCGGTTCTCCAGCGTGAGAGTCAGGCGCTCTAACAAGGATACTAAAGTCTGCAGTCTCTAGCATCTGTCGCTAGAGAGCCTATTGAGATCAGAGGAGTGAGGTTTTTACTTCCACAGCAACTACTAGCTGGCCTCCGTCACACTCACCCCCCTAAACCTAACTCCAATCCGGGTCACGGCACCAATGTAACACCGCTACCCGGGTCCTATTCGCCCCGCTCTGTGCGGGCCTCGAACCCGGCTCTCCAGCGTGAGAGTCAGGCGCTCTAACAAGGAGGCTAAAAGATTTTTACTGGCCTGCGTTACACTTACTTGCTTTGTGCATAAATAAATATCTGTTTTTGAATGAATTGGTGGAGAAAGATTCAGTGAATCACTCATAACACAGTCACTTGTCGTCACCTATTGGCATAACTATGTAACTTGCAGAAAGAGTCACGCTGAAAGAATTGCAAATGATGCATCAGATTTTGTAAATTCTCTATCTATCAGTATATATATATATTTGTATGCATCGGAACAATTTTTTCATCAACTCAAATATTTATGAAACACTTTGACTAAAATATTGAGCCCGCAATAGTTCCATAGCTAGTGTATTATCATTGCCGGTTAAATTATATTGAACTTGGGTCCGCTCTGCACCAAAAGCGTGAAAACAACCTCAAGCCCATTTCTGCGACACACACACAAAAAAGGGATAGTTTGACTTTCATATTTTTTGTTATGTGTAGCTGGGCTAAGATTCTCATATAGTGGAGACACCATTTTTATTTTGCTCTTATCCTCTAATCTTACCTACAGAGGCGCAGTGCAGTGCC